ACGCATTTTTGTTCTAGCTCCTCCTTCAGCTCCCGATGTCAGTGACGAATGAGAGCAACAAAAATCGCTCATGTGTGAACACTTCTTTATATTTAAACGATCAATAACCTAATATACGCCGTGTATTTTTAGAATTACGTATTATTTAGTCGTTGTTTATTCCATTGTTAGTCGGGATCACATCACTCAAAAGACTTGTGTCACGTTTTCGGGTGGTTTATGATATTCTTTGTTTAATCGTCACCATTATCATTACATTTACACTTCCACTGCTGAACTTGCTGAAAGAACAACTGCTGAAGTTGTTCTTTCTTTGTATTACGAATCAATTGTGTTTATGCCATGGTAATTCAGAAGATAGCTGGTTGAGAATGCCATTTAGCATTAAGCTTACCTTTTGTACAAATATTTGGTGCAATAAAGAATAAATAAATAAATAAGCGCTTGTTCTTTGTAAAAACCAATAAAAGTGTTAATGGAAATTTTAAGTATTGATTTACCTCGTGTTTTGCGGTGAAGGTAAACATCGTGAGAAAACCTGCATGCCTTAGTAATAATTTCTTAGACACGTGAATACTTTTAGTGACCTTGCTGATACTGTAAGAACTAAGGAACCACACTTTAAGGGCTGTCATTTTTTTAAATTTTAGAATGCGTCAGGCAATTGTTTTATGTCTACTACTAAATCCTAAGTAATTCATCACGTAAATTCCCAGCATGGTTCCTCAGTGTTCACCCGCATTCTGTCACAATAAACATGGCTTATTAGCTAAGTTACGTAGGGTAAGGTAGGATTTCCTTCAAAGGCAAAGTGCTCATGCACATTGGCAGAATTGGCGAAATATTAGTTTGCCTTCTTTCGGGAACCCGTGAATTCTGGTCTCTCGGCTAAGGCTATCCAAGGGAATTTCTGTAAGCCATCACTACCATCTCTTTACAGGGAGGACGACTCACTGGCCCACGACGCAAAAGAGAAGGCCGACCTTTTAGGCTCCCTTTTTGCGTCCAACTCGACTGTTGATGACGGGGGGAACACACCGCCGACCATCCCGCGGTGTGAGTGCTCCATGCCGGATGTGCGATTCTCACAGCGCTCGGTTCGTAGAGCACTCCTCTCCCTTGACATCCACAAGTCGAGTGGGCCTGACGGAATCCCCCCAATTGTGCTGAGGATGTGTGCTCCGGAGTCGGCACCGGTTCTAACGCGTCTTTTCCGGTACTCCTACTCCCTAGGCGTAGTCCCGAAATCATGGAAGACAGCTTTTGTCCACCCGATCCCTAAAAAAGGCGACCGCTCAGATCCGTCCAACTACAGGCCTATCGCCATCACCCCCTTGTTCTCCAAAATAATGGAATCCGTTGTAAACTGCCACCTCATGCGGTACCTTGAGGATCACCAGCTGATTAGTGACCGCCAGTACGGTTTTCGTCGGGTTCGATCAGCTGGTGATCTTCTGGACTACTTAACTCATAGATGGGCGTTGGCAGTAGAGTCCAAGGGGGAGGCATTGGCCGTTAGTTTGGACATTGCGAAGGCCTTCGATCGGGTTTGGCACAAAGCGCTTCTTTCGAAGCTCCCTTCCTATGGGCTTCCCGAGAAATTATGCAATTGGATCACCAGCTTTCTTGCAGATCGGAGCATCAAGGTCGTTGTAGACGGTGCATGCTCCGACTACAAGCCTATTAACGCTGGTGTTCCGCAAGGCTGTGTGCTATCACCAATGCTGTTTCTTCTGCATATCAATGATATGTTGCAAGCTGGTAGCATTCATTGCTATGCAGATGACAGCACTGGTGATGCTCTATACACCGGCCGTGCCAATATTTCTCGGGAAAACGTCACCGAGTACCGGAACAAACTTGTGTCTGAAGTCGAGTCTTTGCTGGACAAAGTCTCGGATTGGGGGCGACTAAATCTAGTCCAGTTTAATCCTCAGAAGACACAAGTTTGCGCGTTTACCGCTAAAAAGAACCCCTTTGTCGTATCTCCTCAGTTTCAAGGTACTCCCCTTGTTGCCTCAGCCAGTATCGGAATCCTCGGCGTCGACATATCGAGTAGCGTGCAGTTTCGTGGTCACTTGGAAGAGAAGGCCAAATTGGCCTCTAAAAAGCTTGGCGTGCTCAGCAGAGCGGGACAGTATTTCATGCCGGCTCAACGCCTGCAACTTTACAAGGCGCAGGTTCGGCCTCACATGGAATACTGTTCCCATCTCTGGGCTGGGGCTCCCCAGTGCCAGCTTCTTCCACTTGACCGCATCCAGCGCAGAGCGGCTCGAATCGTCGACGACCGAGTCCTTTCCGATCGGCTCGACTCATTGGCACTGCGAAGAGATGTTGCATCTCTTAGCATTTTCTTTCGCATTTACCATGGGGAGTGCTCTGAGGAATTGTTCGGATTAATCCCAGCCGCCAAATTTCACGAACGCACATCGCGGCAGAACTCCCGATACCATCCACACCATCTGGATGATTGGCGGTCCACCACTGTGCGATTTAGAAGATGTTTTCTTCCTCGCACAACTTCCTTGTGGAATAGTTTACCACCAGCGATTTTTCCGGACCGATACGACTTAGGGACCTTCAAGAAAAGAGCCTACTCCTTTTTAAAAGGCCGGCAACGCATCTGCAATTCCCCTGGTGTTGCGGTTGTTCATGGGCGGCGGTAGTCACTTACCATCAGGTGAGCCGCATGCTCGTTTGCCCCCTCTCCTATAAAAAAAAAAAGAGCAAGTTGCCGGATTCGAGGATTACCGTGTCCTCCCCCTCTCTTCGGACTTCGGATAATCCTATAATATGCCAGCGTAACTTGTCTATCTCTTCTTCCAGCTCTACAATCTTCTCGTCAGTCCTCAGGGTGCGTGCGTTGTATGTTGCCAGGTCGAGTCGTCGTAGGTGGCAACCGAACCTCCACCGGAGATTCTTAGCACCCCCTGCCCCGCCGTTACCATGGTCGCCACCGTAGCCAGGAATAGCGGGGCCGCCGGGGACTGGGGGCCGTTTATTATTGTCATTGCTCATGGGGGGTATATTGCCATAGTTGCCACGCTTGGCGAGCGGGTTGGCAACCGCAGTTTTTTATTGTTATTTTGGCTGTTATCAAGAAGATGCTGCTGCCCATCTCCTGCCTGTTTCCCTTTGTCGCCTTTTACGACACCCACGGGAGGATATGGGGTAGTGGATATTCTTAACCGCCACTACACGGCCACTTATCCACACTTATCCTAATGTCACAGTTTAATTCTAAATGACTTTATTATTTAACCAGAATAGAACAGAAATATTATATATATATATATATATATATATATATATATATATATATATATATATATATATATATGTGTGTGTGTGTGTATATCATTACGTAGTATAGTCATATTACAGTTGTAGCACGAAATCGGCTCAGCCGGGGATGGACCACACTCTCACAGAATACCAACGTAAAATAGCAGCTAAATGTTGCTGCGCTTCATGTGGATCTTGTTACGGATACCAGTCATTCCTTCTTAGTGCTTAGGGCTGACATTTTGATTCTTAATCGAGGATCTAAGGGCCACTGTGTTCATTTACCATAAGTTGAACTGTTTGCTCGTTTGTCAACCTTATTCTATAAAAAAAGTAAACCTTATGTCAGTAATGAGTACCTGAGAGAGTGAAACACACTGCATAATTTATTCTTCACTTTTAACAAATTAATAAAAATGTGCGGCTGTTGCAATTAACTAGTAGTTATCGTACATTTATATTTTAATTAAGGACTTCACCTCCTTTGCATTAAGGTAATGAATTAAAATGACCTGGTTAGCAAAGCATTACTGCTTTAGACCATTATTGAGACATTACAACTAAGTTGAAACTACAATTAATTTTCCGTTATATTTCTATCGTTATAGTCTATCAGAAGTAAACAGCTGAACACAGACAAGAGTTGAGAGGGAATATTATCATGTTGGCACGCATGGCAAGCGGGTTGGCAACCGAAATTTTTAATTATTTCGAGTTTTTTTTTATAGGATCGGGTGACAAACGAACACACAGTCCACCTGATGGTAAGTGGTTACTGTGACCCATAGACATCTACATCTATCCTCAATAAAGTCTCAAGATGCAGATGCGTTGTCACCCGTGAGGACTAAGATGGAATGCCTCTTTGCCATTAAAAAGGGTCTCCGGTCCTCTACACTCACCATACGAAACACAGCAGCGTTAAGCTCCTATTTTACGCTGGTATTCTGTGAGAGCGTGGTCCTTCCCCGGTCGAGCCGACCCATTCGTGCTACAACCATAATATAGCTGCAGCATGGCTCTACCACTTGTTATCAGGAAGACGCTGCTACCCATCTCCTATTGCATTTTCTTCTGTCGCGTCTTACGACACCAACGGATTTATGTAAGTTAGTGAATTTTCATACCTAACCACTACACAGGAAACCTTCATTCCGTTATATATAACTCAATCTTATTTTTTTTAAAGAGTGACAAGCGATCACACAGTCCACCGAATGGTAAGTGGATGTTCAGGCCCATTGTTTTCAGTAACAAGGGTCTCCGGTTCCCTACACTCACGATTCGAAACACAGCAGCATTAAGCGGCTATTTTACGTTGATAATATGTGAGAGCGTGGTGCGTTATATAACCATAATATAACAGCAGCGTGGCCCAATCACATACGAAAATTTTAAAAATGATTAGATATAACGGAATCATTTGCAGTCGATAGGAAATGTATATTGGAATAATTATACAAGCAAATACATTGTTATATAACTTTACAATAAAAAGACGGTTTAAATATAAAATGATAAAATTTCATTTACGTTATCGCTGCCGTTTGTGAAACAAGTGCACTTGAAGTAAACTGACTACTGTATTCATACTATTGCCTTGTTTTAATAAAATAAAGTGTTTTAGGCATAGTGTATAAAACAGTATTTAAAATTGCGGAAACAAGCCGGGTGTTATGGAAGCCAGTGGGACAAATAGTTAATCAACAGAAACAATGTCACATGCGAAGAAAAAGTTGTCACCTTTTCTAAAACAAGTGAGTAAAGTTTTTTATAGGTTTTTTTTCTAGGTATTCGTATCAATGAACATTTATTATTGAGAATTCTAGTTATATCTATTTCCTTTGATTGCTCTTGCATCAATAATAAATTGCAGCTAAATTATGACGACCTGGTAAGAGATGTAGAAAGTCGATAGATGCAGGTAGCTCCGGACAGCACTTTGGGGCATTCCGTGGGTGAAATCTATGATCAACAATGGAGTTTCGTAGGACTGTAATAATGATGATGATCATCATGAAGTTATAACATTTAATATAGGGTAGGGTACCCTATAGTTTACATCATTTACTAAAATGATTTAATAATTATTTTTTATATATAATAACGGTGACAAATGAGCATTTAGTCCACCTGATAGTAAGTGGATACTGTGACCCATAGACATCTATATCTATCCTTGATTAAGAATCAAAATGCAGATACGTTGTCACCGCTGAGGACTGAAATGGAATACCTCGTATCTAGTAAAAACGTGGCTTTACCACGTATAAATTACTTTTAACGTATTTTATTTGAATATTTAGTTTTATTTAATTTACACATTAACACGTTAACAAATATATACAACAGAAACACCACATCACAGACTAACTAGTAGATTCTAACCGAATCAGACGGGCATCTCACGAACTAAATTTACTTAGCTTCTGCATCCTGATTGGTTGTAGCAAAATGATATGCGACATTTCTTTTTTTTTTATTTGAAGCAGCTATACCAGGCAAAGGACATCCCAAATAAGTTCATTTATTAATTACTTGCAATTTTATTTTAAAATATTGAAAATAAAACGAGGTAAATGCAAATGAAACAATGTTGAAATTTATTTAGTCACTTTATTTTTCAGATTTTTCTTATCTTCTAATTATCTTCAGAGTTTTCATTAATAAATTTTATATCTTGTTGTTTCAACAAAGCTTGCTACCAGAACGCCAAAATTCTTAAATCTTTCCCTCTTCTTTTTTTATCACCGCAATTCTATTCACACTGTTAAATAGGTCCTCTATAAAAGATACTATTTCAGAATTATTTTTCTGTGTTCTGCTCACTGGCCGCATATCCGAATAATGAGCTGTAATAAATATTTAAAATATTATTTCATTAAATATCATTACATAATCTGTACAGTATTTATAAGTTACTGCTGTGCTGTGCTGTAGCCGACAGACACCTACATTAATCCTGTTGTAAAAGTATCAAAATAATGGAGTGTTGTACTCTACACTCCATAATCAAAATGCAGATGCATTGTCACCCTTGAAGACAAAATAATGCCTTGTTACCAGTAAAAAGGGTCTCTGGTTTTTTTTTTATAGGAGAGGGGGCAAACGTGCATGCGGCTCACCTGATGGTAAGTGACTAGGTACCGCCGCCCATGAACAACTGCAACACCAGGGAGGGAAATGCAGATGCGTTGCCAGCCTTTAAACCGGGTCTCTGGTTCTCACCACTAGCCATGTAAAACACTTCAGCTTTATGGTTCTATGTAAAAATATATTTAATAAAATTTAATAAAATAATTAATATGATAACTTTCAAAATGCAGATGTATAATTTGAGGGTTCTGTCACGGTTTTACTAAATACACAAACATAATTCTTAATCTACAAATAATCCATAAGAATTTGATAAGGAAAACGTGTATTACGCATACAAAAATTAAATTACATGTAATAGAAATAAAAGTACAATTATTTTATACCTCAATTTTTTTCAGAAATAGCATGTTCGACGTTAAGTTTGGGTAATAACTGTGTTTCTGCATGTTCATAGTCTTTCTTATCTGTCCATATAGAAATCTTTTTGGCCTTTTTTGTCCAATAATTTCTCTATGAAGATTACTGCCCGTGCACCACATGTCACCATATCATTTTTACACAACTGATTTTATTTGACACTGACGTATTTTGGCGAAAGAACGCTAAAAATGCTTCACAAGCTAGCCTTTTGCATTCAGATAAATTTTGTAAATCATCAGAAAGGGTAGGATAAAAATAAACGTTGAAGAGCAAGAATATGAAAATAGCATATAATAACAACTACTTGAAAAACTTATTAATTAGGAAAATGAATGATAAGTATAAAATCAGAAACATTAAATGAAACTAATTTTTACAGATTTATAAATCCGTAAAAATTAGTTTCATTTAATGTGTAGTATTCGCGTAAATATAAGAAATGATTAAATCAGAAATATTTATTGTTTACAATTTTATTAGTAAAACAAGTAAAAACTGCTCTTAATGTTTTAGAAAACGCAGTGTATTCTACAGATACACTCCGTTTTACGTCACATTGCATTGGTGTCACTGCAAGGATTTTAGGGGCGTTAAAAATATAAAGTTATCGCTTCTGTTGAAAATGGCCAAACAAACGATATTATTTTAATTTAGGACTGAACAGGACAACGGATTCTCCTACGTCGTTATCTTATATATCGTATGACGTGAGCATTTCTTGGATCATTTTTGAGTAAGCCTTTACTCAGCAGTATATTAAATAAAAGAAAAAGTAAAGAATGTATCATATATTTACTTGGTAGAGCCATGCAACCAGTTCCATGCTGCTGTGTTTCGTATTTTTTTAATGAGAGGGGGCAAACTAGCGTACGGTTCACCTGATGGTAAGTGATTACCACCGCCCATGAAAAACTGCAACACCAGGGGAATTACAGGTTGCCGGTCGTTTAGAAATGAGTAAGCTCTTTTCTTGAAGGTCCCTAAGTCATATCGGTCCGGAAAAATCGCCAATGGTAAAGTATTCCACAGAGGTGTCGTACGCTGAAGAAAACTCCTAATGAAACGTACATTGGTGGACCGCCAAGCATCCAGATGGTGTGGATGGTATCGGGAATTTTGCTACCTTGTACGTTCGTGAAATTTGGCGACTGGTACAACAACAATTCCTCAGAGCACTCCCCGCTGTAGATGCGAAAGAAAATGCCTAGGTATGCAACAATTCTTCGTTGCAAATTCTTGTATGCAACAATTCTTCGCAGCGCCAGTGAATCGAGCCGATCGGAAAGGACACGGTCGTTGAAGATTCGAGCCGCTCTGCGCTGGATGCGGTCAAGTGGAAGGAGCTGGCACTGGGGAGCCCCAGATCAGAGATGGGAACAGTATTCCATGTGAGGCCGAACCTGCACCTTGTAAATCTTTTTAGAGGCTAATTTGGCCTTCTCTTCCAAGTGACCACGAAACTGCACGTCACTCAATATGTCGACGCCGACGATTTCGATACTGGCCGAGGCAACAAGGGGAGTGCCTTTAAACTGAGGAGATAGAACAAAGGGGTCCTTTTTAGCCGTAAACGCGGAAACTTGTGTCTTCTTAGGATTAAACTGGACTAGATTTAGTCGCCCCCAATCCGAAACTTTATTCAGTAAAGACTCGACTTCAGACACAAGTTTGTTCCGGTACTCGGCGACGTTTTCCCGAGAAATATTGGCACTGCAGGTGTATAAAGCATCATCAGAGCTGTCATTCGCATAGCAATGAATGTTGCCAAAAACAATTGTTGTTGTTGTTGAAATCATTGATATGCAGAAGAAACAGCGTTGGTAATAGCACGCAGCCTTGTAGAACACCAGCGTTAATGGACTTCTAATCGGAGCATGCACCGTCTACCATGACCTAGATGCTCGGATCAGCCAGAAAACTGGTGATCAATTTCTCGAGAAGCCCATAGGAATAAAGCTTCGAAAGAAGAGCTTTGTGCCAGACCTGATCAAAGGCCTTCGCTATGTCCAAACTAACCGCCGAAACCTCCCCCTTGGCCTCGATCGCCTGCGCTCATCTTTGTGTTAGGTAAACAAGAAGATCACCATCTGAGCGAACCCGACGGAAACCGTACTGGCGGTCACTAATCAGCTGGTGCTCCTCAAGGCACCGCATGAGTTGGAAGTTAATAATGGACTCCATTACTTCCGAGAACAAGGAGGTGATGGTGATAGGCCTGTAGTTGGACGGATCAGAGCGGTTACATTTTTTTAGGGTTCCGTTGCACGAAAGCTGTCTTCTATGAATTCGGGACAACGCCTAGGGAGTAGAAGTGCCAGGAAAAGACTCGTTAAAACCGGTGCTAACTCTGGAGCGCACGTCCTCAACACAATTGGCAGGATTCCATCAGGCCCACTTGACTTGTGGACGTCCAAGAAAAGGAGTGCTTTGCGTACTGAGCACTGTGAATCGCATATCAGGCATAGAGCACTAACACTGCGGCATGGTCGGCGGGATGGTCGGCGGTGTGTTCCCCCGTCATGGAGTTGGACGACAAAAGGGAGCCTAAAAGGTCGGCTTTCTGTTTTGGAGCGTGGACCAGTGAGTCATCCTCCCTGTGCAGAGATGGTAGTGATGGTTTACATAAATTCGCTTGGACAGCCTTAGCAAGAGACCAGCATGCACGGATTCCCGAAGGAAGGCGAACTAATTTCTCGCCAATTCTGCCAGCCAATGTCCTCATACTTTGCCTCGGGAATAACCTGGACCTGGAGGCGAATTTATACTTTTTTTAAGTATGCTGGTGTTTACATCCCGAGTCGCCAAAGCGTCAGCCCAGGCCTGATAATACTCCTGCTTTCTGCGTAATGCAGTCTTACAGGAGCGACAAAACCAAGGCTGAGATCTGCCTCCGATGGGTACCATAGATGATGGAATAAATAGTTCCATTCCCTGTAGCACCACATCAGTGATAGAGTCAGCAACAGCGCTGGGATCATCCGGTGAGAAGCAAACCCACCTCATGGGTAGGATGCAAAGAAAGACCGCATTTCGTCCCGGCGCGTGAGTGGCACCACACTCCAGATCAGACAATGGTCCGAAGAGGCGAGAGGGACGTCGAAGGAAACCTAATATCCGTTCAGATGAAAGGTCAGCAGAAGGTCCAACAGGAAAGATATAAGATCTTACTCATCTGGGATCCGTTGTCTCAGACCATATACCAAGGCAAAGTCATAAACAGATCTCTCCCCGCATGATCGGTTAAACGTGAACCGAGCCATTCGGCGCGGTGGTTGTTAAAGTCACGCCAAGTATCACGATCTCTACGGATGGGATCTGTTATAGCAAGAAATCTGTAGCCATTTGGACGTGGTCGATGAGTCGGTATGTCGGTATGATCGGCACCCGTAGATGCGGAGATGGTCGTCGCTGTGTACGCGCAGCAAACGGATGGTCCGATCCATATCTTCAAGACTGCCGAGGCGTCGGGAACAAATATCCTCTCTCACGTATACGCAAACTCCAGGCCTGGGCACAGAGAAGTGTTCTAATTCGTACCCCGGGTAGGACGGATACGATGTATCAGCCGGAGAGGACACCTGCGTATCGATCAAAAAGAGCAAGGCCGACTCCGCCGTCTCCAGATAGTGGTTGGGTAGTGGATGGCGTTAAGGTTCGGTGAAGTCCGCTGATGTTGCAGAAGTCTACGGATAGCGTAGAGGGCTAGAGGGTAGCTTGACCGTGGATGCTCAATAAAGGATTCTCCATTACCAGGGGTGCTTTTAGTTTTGAATTCGGCTACCATGTTATGCCCCCCTTCCCCCATCTGGCCACCTGCCACCTTCACTAACTAAGTGAAACGCAGAAGCGAAGCTTCTATTTTACGCTGAAATGGTGAGTGTAGAGAATCGGAGACCCTATTTTACTGGAAACGAGGCATTTCATCTTAGAACTCACTCCTCAGCGGTGACATCGCATCTGCATTCTGATTCTTAATCGAGGATAAATGTAGATGTCTATGGGCCAGCATCCACTTACCATCAGGTGAACTATATGCTCGTTTGTCACCATGCTAAACACATGGGAAAATACGGCAGGCAACACCATCATCATAAACTTGTTCTCTTGTACAGAACGTTCGCAGATAGGTGTTCTGACATCACGCATCGATCGGAACGTTGTTGCTCCAAGCTTGTTCCAATCGATGCGTGATGCTATGACGCTATCAGCACAGCAGCTACGTTCCGATGCAGGGTGGCCAGTCATGAACGCTAACTACAATCGTTAACGATAATAGAAAAGTATGAGTTACGACACGTGACATTCGCGTGATATTCACGTGATATTCACGTGAATCAATGTCACACCCACACATTTTATTTTAGTTTTATGTTAGTGTTAGCGATTAAGGCGTTGCACAAACAAAACTAGACACTTTTGTGTCTTTTGTGGGATACAAGCTACTAATTAATATTTTATTTTCATGTAATCAATATAAAATCAGCCATTCCTTGCGCAGACGTAAACACTTTTTGTGTCCAGTTGCTTCCACTTGACACATACCGACCGCCAATCAATACGTGTTACGGCGCTTCAATGTAAGCGTGGTTGATTTGCCTGTTATTATTGACGGCGACGACGTCAAGTAACAAGCAAAGGTAATATTCCTCCATCGACATCTTAGTCCATCCATCCATTTTAGTCTTCACGGCTGCATTTTAATTCGCAAACGATGATAGATGTCTATGGGCCACAGCAACCACTTACCATCAGGTGAACTGTGTGCCCGTTTGTCACCCTAATTTTATAAAAAAAAATCAAAGGTGAAACTGGCGGAAAACAAGCAACGAATTGTTACCAGTGACCAGAATTAGCAACCGGTAACCAACGATTTGATGAAACTTTACGAAGATTGAAAGCAAATTCCAGTGATCAAGGCTTTATTTTTTCCGAAAACAAGCAGGATTTTTGTAAAATTGATAAACTGATAAGATAAGATAATAGAGGTTTTAATTTTTTTTTGTTTATAGGATAACATCTACATCTATCCGCGATGACGAAACAAAATGTAAAAGCGTGCGTGCGTCATCCGTGAGGACTAAGATGGAATGCCTCGTTTCGAGTAAAAAGGATCTCCGGTTCTCTACACTCACTATACAAAACACACCGGCGTTAAGCTGCTATTTTACGCTTGTATTTTGTGAGAGCGTGATCCTTCCTCAATCGAGCCAACCCATTCGTGCTACAACTATATCAGTATATAGCAGCAGCATGGCTCTACCACGTAATTTTTTTTTAATGATAGCCCCATAAATTATGTGAAATACAAAAAGTTAGGGACAAAAATGTTTTGCAATTTTATAGAAAAATGTACTCATACTTCATTCTATCTCAAGGTTTTGATGCAAAATCAATTTTCAACACTTTGTTTACTTCATCAACATTTTACAACTATAGTTTAGTTTGTTTCAGTCATTCAGTCTTAAATAAAACAACAAAGTTTCAGCGTAATTTAAATAACTCTATCTACTTTCCAGTGTTTCGTAACAGGCGCGGTGTGCAGCAACATAGCCGGCCACGGCTGCATCCTCGGCTTCCCAGCAGTGCTCCTGCCTCAACTCAAACAGAACGACTCGATCATCACGCTGACTGAAGAGGGTGCATCTTGGATTGGTAAATAATTCAACCATCATCATCATCATCATCATCATCAATATAGTCCTTCACAAGTCCACTGCTGAACTTAGAGCTCCCCCAAGGAATGCCACAAAACAAGGTCTTGAGCCACCTGCATCCGTTGACTTTTTGCATGTCTTACCAGGTCGTCACTCCATGTAGTGCAGGGACGCCCTAGACTTCAACTGCCGGTACGAGGCTGCCACTCGAGAACCTTTTTTCCCCATCGGTTGTCGGTTCTTCAAGCTATATTTGAGATTTTGAAGTATGCCTGACCAGAAAATGCGTCGTAATCTCTCGAACACTACCCAGCCGAGTTGAATTCGTCGATTTACCTCTCGGTCGAAGTTGGACTTACCTAGTCGGACTATTTGTCCCAGGTAAACATACTCGTCAACAACTTCGAGCTTAGTGCTCTCAACAACTACCGGCATAGGTGTGACATGGACGTAACACATGATTACACAATTTTTGTCCATGTTCATCTTAAGTCCTATCCGTTGGGAGTCACTATTGAGGTCATTGAGTATAATGCTTAGGTCCTCCAGCGATTCTGCCATAAGGACTATATCGTCAGCAAATCGAAGGTGAGCGTGTACCTACTCGCCTTTGATATTAATACCGTATCCTTTCCAGTCCAGTAGCTTAAAAACATCTTCCAATACAGCGGTGAAGAGTTTCGGGGATATTACGTCACCCTGACTTACACCTCTTTGCAGTTGGATAGGATTCGTACTCTGGTTTTGTACTCAGATAGCCATCGTAACCCTACTGTACAAACATTTCAACACTTCAATATACCAACAGCCAACTTGGAACCGCTGAAGGGACTGCAGCTTCGCCCAAATTTCGACGATATCAAAGGCTTTCTCATAGTCCACATACGCAAGACACAGTAGCAGATTGCACTCTTCGGTCTTCTGTACAATTTTCTGAAGGGTATGTATGTGGTCTATGGTGCTAAAGCCTTTTCAAAAACCGGCTTCTTCGGGATGCTGGAAGTCGTCGAGTCTGCGTGCGAGACGATTCGTAATGACTCTCCAAAACAGCATGTAGACGCGGCTCAGAAGGAAAGCGGTCTGTAGTTCTTCAAGAGAGCTTTGTCGTCTTTTTTGAAGAACAAGACCACTGCACTTCTGCTCCACGCCTCCGATGTAATGCCATCATGGGGGACGGAATTAAAGAGCTTCTGAAGGACTTCAAGTAGCTGTTTTCCACCCGCTTTCAGAAGCTCCGTGTAATTCCATCCTCGATGGGACTTGCCCTTTTTAAGGTGCTGGAGAGCTATTCTAGTCTCGCTTAGACTGACGTCCAAGATATCATCGGAAAAATGTCGGATAAGACTTGCTTGTCGTCTGGTCGTCATAATAAAGTCAATCTCATTTTTTGCCGAACTGTCGAGGCTAGACCACGTCCACTTTCAGTGGGGCACTTCTTGAATAAAGAGTTCATCAAAAGAGCCCGTCTTTCTCCATAAAAACAGCCAGCTGCTGGCCTTTCGGGTTCCATTGCCCTATCTCAAATTTCCCTATTCTCAGCTCACCGTTCTCTCTTGGGCCTTGTTTTTCGTTGAAGTCTCCCGTTAACACCGTATGGTGGGTTTTGGAGAAAGCATGATCCTCATACATTTCCTCCACCTTCTCATCGGGATGTGCTGAGGTTGGTGCGTAAACCTGTATGACCTTCAGCGAATACCGTTTGGTAATTGTGAGTATAAGGTACGCAGCCCTCATCGACACACTCCTAATCTTTACAACGTTGTTAACGAAAGACTCATGGACGATAAATCCGACACCTCCTTGGGACAGATGGTCGTCCTCCCGGTGATAGAACAACTTGCCAGATTCGAGGATTACCGTGTCCTTCCCCTCTCTTCGGACCTCATATAATCCTATAATATCGTCAGTTTGTTACCAGTTCGTTCGCTTTAGGTGGCAACCGAACCTCCGCCTAAGATTTAACTCAACCATACGCAATAATTATTAACTAGTTAAGAGATACAACCCGCTCACCTTAAAGTTTCATAGCACGCAAGCATACCAAGATCAATCCGAGCTGACACTGCTAAATAATAATAAAACTGGAATCTATAGCAAATACCCTAACCTCCACCCCTCTATAAGCAATTTATGGTATATTGTAATCTATTCATTGTAATTTTTTACCACAGCATCAGTGCTCGGCATAACTATTTTAGTCGGCAACTTTATAACACCGCCTATAATGGAGCATATCGGGAGGAAAGCGGCACATTTCGCTGTAACGCTGCCGATCATCGCTGGGTGGCTGGCGACAATATTTGCAAATAGTTTTGAGGTAATTCATTCAATAAGTTACAGAATGATTTACTAAGTTGTATACAGTAGAGTAAGAAAGTTCCTAGGTTACCTTTTCCGCCAAGAAGTCCATCTGGTTCCACTGTTTTATACCTATTTCCACCACCATGCAGCATTACTCGCACCGCTGTGTACCAGTCTGCAGGTAATAAAGAGCCAGTATAACAACAGGCTGTGAGGTATTCCATCTTAGGGCTTGGAGGCTATCTATGATGATAGCTTTCTTTAATTGAAATTAATTACTTGAATTTTATTTTTTTTTAAATACGAATATTACGCTAGCCAGAAGCAAAGCAATCAGGGAATATAGCATAAAAACGATGCTACTTTGGGGGAATTTAAATCATGCAAACACCAACTGCCTTTTAAGTCCATTGTTAAACATAGGTTTATCAAGAATTGCCATTTTCATCTCCAATTTGTAATGATTTTCTTCAGCGTTTTTGTATGGGTTTACCGCCACCAGTCGATAGCTAGACCCTCGCCCATTAATCAGCAGAATTCACTAAGGCAAGTTGAGCATTCGAAAAGTTAGTATTTTGCTTCACACCTCTCATGGAAATTTGGCGGAAACTTGAGCACCTTCGGATTGCGCTCCTGCATTATTGTTCAAACTTCAAATAATTGTTTTGAAATTGCAATTTTGGGAACTAAAGCTCCCGAAATCATCGCAATATAATTCATGAATATAATTTTAGCCCAAGATGATTGCAGTAGAATTATTCTCGTGTCTTTGATACCATTAACCCAAATCCTGCTCTTCCAAATTGATTAAAGTGGTTTCATTATCACTTATTCTTAATATCACAGTTCAAACCCAGTTAAAAATATGGATGGTAGTAGGAAAATGTCACTCCTACTCTGTACTCTCTGGCTTCTGACTAGGGGTGCTCTCCAGGGATCGGTTCTCGGCCCACTGCTGTTCGTAGTATTTAGTGTTTTATGTTTTTCTTTTTGCACTGTACATGCATACACAGCACTGTACATACCATTTTTATGTGGATAACTAACAAACATATTTATTTGGATGACAATACATATGTAGAAGGATCTGTATACGTAAATTATAATATTGAAGATCATATTATATAGTTAACACTTATATTGTTATATAGGAGTGTGAAACGATAAACTGTTGCGTTGCCGACAAACTGGCATACAGTTTGGCAAAGTTTGAAATGTAAATTATGTAACACTCTTTCTATGAATAAATAAATAAAAAAAAAAAATATATAGCTCAGCGGTCTGATATCAATTGTCTTTTGTTGGATCCAGCCAGATCTAAATAAATTGCCTTAGGACAAAAAACAAGTAATTGTCTCCTGACTCTAATCAATGCAAAACATTAATTAGAGTCAGGAGACCGTAATTTGGGTTGTAAAAGTAAAAAGTAAAGTTACAGCCTATATACGTCCCACTGCTGGGCACAGGCCTCTCATTTCTGAGAGGGTTTTAGGGCAAGGAAATGTCCGCCGCGCTGCCCTAATGCGTGTTGGCGAACTTCACATGACAAATAAGAAAAAAAATATAATTTTTTTTCTTATTTGTCAGACATGCAGGTTTCCTCACGATGTTTTCCTTCACCGCCGAGCACGTGGTAAATCGGCACTAAAATTTCATTCGTGCCGGCGGGGATCGAACCCAGGTTCCTCGCGTACTGTGAAACTTACAGCAAACGATAACCATCTGAGCTACCACGGCTGTTGGGTTGAGTCACATATATTTTTAGAAACATTTTTCGAAGCTGTCCATAATTTTTTTTAGACTAAGTGTTATACAAATAAGATAAAATATACCTGACACTATGAAAAATTATTCTTAACACTATCTTGTACAATTTCGTATGCAAAGGCTTTTTAGAGAATTAATAATCATACATTTTAATATGTACCTCTTACTTAAAAAATATAGTAGGTACAGTAATATATGATTAAAAAAACAGCAAAATAAAATTTTAACAAGTTATATATTCAATTTTAGGCATTATTCATCGGACGAATCCTGCAAGGGTTGTCGTACGGAATGATTTTGCCGTTAGGATCAGTCCTTGTGGGAGAATACACCAGCCCGAAGAACCGTGGAGCTTTTCTTATGACTGTTTCTTTGGCGCAAGCTTTTGGTATTTTCTTTGTCCACCTCGTTGGATCACTGCTTAGTTGGCAAAAGACTGGAATGATTTGCATTTCCTTTTCTATCACAAGTCTTCTAATGGTGTTATATTCTCCTGAATCGCCAAGTTGGCTAGCTGCAAAAGGAAAATATGATGAGAGCAAGAAAGTCTTTCGTTGGCTAAGAGGTGATGAAGAGGAAGACGAATTAGAAGAAATGATACAAGCGCAAATGTTAACAAAAAAATCTGGAACTGAGAAGAAGAAAATTACACTGCGTGGCATCATAGAAGTAGTTAAAAAGAGAGAGTTTACAATTCCAATCATTCTTATGTTTCATGCAAACGCTATGATGCAGTTCGCGGGTGGAACGACCATGGCAGCTTATTCTACTATCATAGTTGGATTGATAATGGGACCTGAAGCCAGCGCACATTTATGGATGGTTATTTTAGATGCACAAAGATTAATATCGAATACTATAGCGGTGTATGTGATAAATAAAATTAAAAGAAGAACCATGATGTTTCTCACTGGCGGACTCTGCGTCTTTAGTCATATAGCAATAGCCGGATATGTCTACGCGAAAATTCATGGTGTGCTGCCATATGATTCTTTGTGGATCCCAGCACTTCTGATCAATCTTCAATTCTTCTCAGTTGCCACGGGAATGGTGCCTCTGCCCAATGTCATTGCTGGCGAAGTCTTCCCTCTAGAATACAGAGCCTTAGGAGGCAGCATTAGTGTTGTTTCCGCTGCCGCATTTATATTTGTAACATTGAAAACATTTCCAGGTTTAATAAGCTGTATAAATTTACACGGTACATATTTAGTTTATGCTGCTGTACTGACATATAACCTGATAGTAATATGGTATCTGTTACCGGAGACTAAGGATAGAACTCTACAGCAAATCGAAGAAAAGTTTAAACGTACAAAATATAAAGATAAAAATGATATAGACGCTGTGGAGGGATTACAAGTAAGTAAAGCAAAGCTCCCTGAGCAATTTGAAGATGACAAACTTAATGAAATCGAAAAGCTTTAAGGAAATCAAGTTGAAATAGAACATTACAGTATTAATTAAATAATGTAATTAGTTAAATTATTTAAATAAAGTTTTAAAAAATGTTGAGTACATAAACAAAATAAGACTAAATTATAATTAATAGAATCAGGCGTTACTTTGCGGAAATCCATTATATAAAAGCTTTTAGAAAAATTTACTTCGCAAATATCCGCGTTATAAAATAAAATGATGTGTCTTACCTAGTATGAAGAAGCACCTCCCGCCCTCCCTCAATTGCGTGCACTATCCCCGTCACCACTAATCCCAGCACCGCTACTCCCAACACCACTACACTAGGCAAGACACACCACTGACGATAATACGACACGTGTTTCGCCTCTACACGAGGCATCCTCAGGTGATATAGACTCTACGGTGGCTAACCGCTTAATAAAAATAATAAAAATGATGAGTCTTATCTAGTTTGAAGACCACATTCCGCTCGCGCACCTTGATTTCGTGTAATATCCCAGCCACCACTAATCCCAACACTACCACTCCGAGTCGGGTAGTCTCAACGGAGACTAGCTATCTACGCAGGACAAGTGCACTCTCTATTCCCATACGATGGGACGATAAACCGACCCGACCGGACAGAGAGCAGACGCAGGCAGGAGAGAAACGGCTTTACGTACTTTCAGAGACACGGAAGTGAGACAATGTCGGTATTTGGTATACAGAAAATGCGGCCCCGACTATTTCATAGTATTTTTATGAGAATGAAAACGGTTATCAAAAGAACCGTAAGTTCTCTACGTTGTTACTGGCTAACATGCCTGACGCGCTACACCTCCACGCCAAACCGAGTATACAAAGATATGCATTATTATATTGTATTTTGTTGAATGTTATCACTAAACCAGGTTTTCGAATTGGTCGGCTCGACCACGCTTATACATATGATTTTTTTATACATTACAAACGAACACAATCTCTGCTCTCACACTTATTTCGTATGGTGAGTGTAGAGAAACGGAGACCCCTTTTACTGGAAGCGAAGCATTCCATCTTAGTCCTCAGGGGTGACAACGCAACTGCATTTTGATTTTTAATTGATGATAAATGAATGTCTATGAACCATCCACTCATCATCAGGTGAACTGTGTGCTCGTTTATCAGTTATTCTATAAAACAGTGCCATGCGCAGCAGGTGGATTTACTAACGCAGTACCAGACACCGCCCTTGTCGTTGGTTCCTATCGCCATCCTGGACATTTTATATCCGCTATATATGGTGGGAATCGTATGAGGAAGCTCAAGGTCGCTGAGCGAGCTATGGAAATGGCTATGCTTGGGGTTTCTCTGCGTAATATACTTCAAAACAAGGAAATCCGTAGTCATCAGTAGAACCAGAGTAAAATGACATAACCCAACGGATTAGTAAGCTGGAGTGACAATGTGCCGGCCATATAGCTCGAATAAGCGGCAACCGACGCGGAAGAAAGGTTCTCGAGTGGCAGCCTCGTACCGGCAGGCGAAGTGTAGGGCGACCCCCCAAGAGATGGAGTGACGACCTATATATCGTCACCGGAAAGCCAATACTACTTAAACGCCAAAAGGGCATTTTACAGTAGAGCCATTTTAATTTTTTCTTTACAAAACCGTTCTTAACTTTTTTTCTAATTAAGATATCGAAATACAATAAAAGCAAAAAAAAATCGTGATTCTATTATCTACGTACTGGAATCGAGATATTCTGCATATTTCTTGTAATTCAGAAGATAGCTGTCACTTTAGTACATTTGCTCTGTACAGTTCGTAAGGAGAAACTACTTATCCCCATAATATATTTTTTTTAAATACTGACAACTAACGTCCTTTCCAATGTATGAAAGGAAAAGTACTAACACGCATTACGGGTTGATAACGGTCTCAGGATAATACTACTTAAACATTATAACGTGTCACAAGACCGTACGGAAAAGCGATGTATAGTATTAAAAGTTGGTACCACTGTTATGCCAAAAAGACTTATGTAAAAGACATATGATTTAAATTTAAATGTTTTTTTCTTAACGGACATAGACAGTACTTGTGCTAACAATAATTGTACTAGCAGCAAACAAAATAAATAAGAATACTATAATTCCTAATTCGAGTTAGATTTAATCTTTTTACTGTATTGGTTGAAGAAAGAAAAAACAAAATATTAACTTGCTTAGTAAGTAATCACCATAGAATTATTACGCATAGAAACGCAGTCCAGTACAAAACACGAGTGTTAAAATGATGCAAAGTCATTATGTTAGTGGGCACGAGTCGAATGTGCCTACGCTCGTCACACGCACACATACACGCCATTCAGTGATACCAGTTTCTGGCGTTTGCAATCAAATTGTGCAAATCACTATTTTTTTGATTAATTTTAAAAAATCGATATAATAAAGATTACGTATTACGTACGAAGATTATTTAGTAGAAGTATTTTATGAGAATATAAAATGGAATAAAATAAACACGATAATGATGTTACTAATATAACTTTATTATACATATATTAATGGTAAAAATGCAGACGTAATAAAATTTAAGAATATTATTAAATACAATTAATTTGCTCGAATACAATAAGCACATCGTGTAATGTTGAATTTTAACCTACTTCAAAAATGGAGGAGGTTATCAATTCGGAGTATTTTTTAATGTTTTTTACCTCAGAATTCTACAATTTCTAAACCGATTTAGATTTTTTTTTGAAAGGATATACACACAGATTGATCCAATAAACACGCTAAAATTTTAATTGTTGTTTTCCTTTGTCTGTAGTAAAATGAGTAGTACAATAGAATAGATGTAAAAATGGCAGATTTACAATCGAGAAAAACAATACTCGTATGCGATCTCAAACCAATAGCGATATCTCGCAAGTAGGTCGGGCGTACAGGCTAGCTTATACCGAATTACTATAATAAAGTCTAAAAAAAATTCGCTGGACGTAATGTAGTGTTACGTCTATCGCACGTGCTACCGCGCGCTTCCTACACAGTGAAGGACCACTAATAAATGTTCATAACATGAACTCTCAAGCGTAGTGATACGACATAAACTAGTTTGGACGCCCGAATAGCTTGTGAGGTATTACTATAGTAAATCTACCCTTTTTTATTTGTAATATTTTTTAATTTAATAAATTGACTCTACTATCGAGACAGTATAATTTGGCTGCGGGACAACAACCACTAAAATTTCAGCATGTATATACGAATTGATCAAGCTTAGAAATCAGTGTACATACATATTGATAACCTTTTTTTTGGGAGTCGGTTAAAATAGGCTATGTTTGAGTCTAACGTAACATCTGGTTAATGTTTGGGTGTAAAGTGGCATCTGGTTAGTAAAGGCGTTCTTATTAATAATCTCATGATGTTGTAAATAAAAAAGTTTTTATTCTATACTCTAAAACGTAACCTTAGTCAACAAAAAAGCATTTAAAATAAAATAGTCGCGTTAAAATGGCGTCGACGAATTGCGATTAACTGATCATTCCGTATTAGTTTTAAATAGGCACCCATTGTTAATATAATGTTAACACTTAGAGAAGTAGGTATCTATATATAAACATTTGAGTTTTACACAGAGCGTTGCGATTAAACGTTATAAACACAAATAGAAAATAAATATTTTTAAAAGAAAATTGTGATTTTTTCCCCACAACTAGCAACATTTGTATTATGAGAGCTTAGGTAAGTATTTTTTTAGTTTTACGTACTTATAATGAATAAAATGTATAAACTTATATGTGAAATGTAATACCATTACTTCTTTTATGTTTATCATCACCGTTGTGACAATATTTTATAACACAAACGGTAATTTTTACAATTTTTCGCGAGCTCTTTTCCGTAAGACGTGACGTTGCGGACTGACGCGTCGCGGAGTCAACTAACGCGGTTTCGAGTTAGTTTTACTTGCTTCACTTTCGGTGCGCGTACTAGTATTCTATGCGTAATAATTCTATGGTAATCACTTTTAATGAAAAATAATAATAAAAAAATGACAGGATAGTATTTTGACAGTTTTAAAACTTGGTTACTTGTAGCAGACATGTGTCAAAAGTCACGCAAAATAATTTTATTATTAATCTACAATAATAATTATGTATTAAGTAACCTATTATTTGGCATTGAGATATAATGTACTACGTACTAGAGAAGACGCCTCAACTCGATTGTTTGTAACACGAGTTAGAGTGCGCGCTCTCAAACTCACTTAGTCTGTGTCAAGCGGTTGTTGCAACGTGAGAAGTTAGAGTGAAGAATTATTTTTAAATTAATATGCCTTCGTGTGCATTGAGATACTATTGAAACTACTCGAGAAATATAAGGAAAAGTCAAGGAGTGAATTTTCACCAGTAATTTAAACTTATTATTATCTTTAAAACACGCTTAATTTAATTATATTTTATCAGCTGCAACGTATACGTGAATGTCAAAGAGTAAAACATTTTTATGCGCAGACTTGACACTATCGACGTATAATGTTAAGTAATTATGAACAGTAAAATATTTATATATATTCACTGTAGGAAATGTTAATGCATTAAAATTAATATTTTTTATTATTATTTTTATTTAATGTTTTCCTCGGCTGTGTCATGAAACAAAATAATCATGGATCAAATTTGTTCAGAAGAATTGCAGCGAAGAAACGTCAGATTATTCACTCACATTTTCCGTGCAGTTCAAGAAATAAGCAGTACCATGCGACTATGTAATTATATAATTATATAACATTGCTGGGATTTTTGTTTTATTTTTTGATTAGACGACGAACGAATGTTTTGTAATGTTCAGTATATTTACGGGACTTAAGAGAGACGGAAACCTCGGCGCGCGAGTCATTCTAGTATATGACGGTTTTTTAATACTGTAACACTAGAATTTTTGGAGGCTTTCCAAATAACTAGTATCTTTTTTTCAGCCAAGAAAATGTGGTGAACAGGAAGTATCAGAACCGTTTTCTGAATCAATAAGCAGTAC